ATGTTTATTCAGAGAAAGTACGTTTTTGTGTCTGATTTCGTAACTTAATTAATAGTTAGCACTAATTAATTAGCATATTTGAGGTCACCCCCAGGAACCATTAAGATTGACACTTAGTTCGTGAAAATCCGATCATTAGAACGAAAGTTATTCAGGGTGATTCGTTTTTTTTTTTTGCGGACTGTACATAGAACTTCTAGGTTTCATTAACATCAGTATTAGAATCAGTGGATTGCATGTAACCAAACAACGAATCTTCTAGAGACTTTTGTTTACGAGAAACACTTATCTCGAATAAATTTAGGAAAAAAAGGAAAATTTGTAACTAGGTAGCCGGTTTTCTTATCAAATGACTGCCAAAAAAAGCAGCCTTTTTAAATCTTTTTTGACTAACAAATTTCTGTTTATTTTATATCTTTAAATCTCTTCTACTCTTAAGAAGAAAAAAAGCCCTACCAAAATCAAAAGATCAGCAATGAGGCTTTAAATTAGATTCTATACATGATTTATTTATTGGAGTCAATGTAAACCTTGATCTCAATATTTTTAGCTGCAATGGGTAGCATTTGATCACTTATCTGCTTTTTTTATCCTTCATAATATGAATTCGGACCATTAGTCTAAATTTATGATAAGTTCAACGCATATATTTAGTGTAATATTTTGAGATAAGAGAGTTCATCCTAATTTTTGGCAGTTTCACGGTATTGACTTAAGATACTTTAAGGAAAACAAATTTATATTTTATGTTGCGAGGTGTACTAAGGATTGAAATGGAAAAAATGTGGTTTATCCGAATGATCTGCTAAGAGAGCGAATGAATTAAGGGGTGCAGCAAACGTCCGTGTCTTCCTTCATCTTCTAATATGTATAGGATAACTATCATAGAAAAGAAACACAACATTTATTGATATTTAATAGAAAACAAAGCTAGCATGTGAGGTAATTATAACATTTTACGTTTCCCCCAAGTTCTTCTATAACGACTTTTCTGCCGTTTGGCTTGGAGAAGACGTGTTTCTTGTCCAGGCAGCTCTGTATAGGGCTCAGATATGGGCTTTGGACAAGGCAGTCAATCATATTGTCACCATAAAAATTTATGGTGGACCTCGTAACATTTCAAATAGCTTTGAACTGGAAGTAAAATGGGTTTATCTCTTAAAATTGCTGACATAAAAAGCACTACTATAGAATTATATTTTGTGCAAATTTACTGTGACTTCGGACCAGTGGTCCTAGTTCACAGCAGAAGAACCACCTCAAATAATAATTCATGCTCTGGCTATATGCATGAGTTTCAAATTACAAAATTCAAATAGTAGGGTAGGTAATTTGAAAATAATGCTATTTTCAAATTGCCTACATCATTTTACAATTCGCAGAACATGTTTATTGAACTAAGCCTAACAAATGGCGTCGTTTATTTTCAAAGAACCGAATTTTCTCACGAGCCTACGACATAGGCAACAAAAAAGCTATTATTAGAAAAACCTTTCAGCTTCATCCGACACTATGTGTAAGCTACAAATGAAATGCCATTTGCTCTCATTTCCGATATTTTAATGAAATGCTCTCTCTCTACATCTTTAAATTATAATTATTGTAGGTTACCATGGAAAAGGTGGTCCAGTATGTGCACAAAATATACCTTATTTTCCTCCCCTGAAGCGTAAAGTTTTTGCAGCAGCTGAAGAAATGGGACATGAAATACTGGATTCAAATGGACCACGACAAACAGGTGAGGAGGATTATTTTTAAACTGCATCTAAATACAAATTACGAATGCAAAGAAAGATTAAAATAAACACAATATGAAATATTTTTATTACATAAAATACTCTATATATTCTATAAATAAAATAACTTTTTAAAAAATATATCAAAAGAATATTAAGTGGCACTTTTCTTACAGAATTTGTATTCAAATTTTAAATGTATTTAAATTAAAGGATTTTGAAACTTAGTTAATTTCACTTTGATACTAAAATGTTTTGCAATTTAATAGTTAAAAGTCTTCATAACAATTAGCAACATATACAGTATAATTGTACGAAAGATATAATAAATATACTAGGAGGCTTCGCCCCCTGATCGCTGGCGCTCGCCAACCCCCGGAACTGCTTTCGCATTTCATTTAGGATTGCTTCGCAATCCGATGCTCGCTTTGCTCGCTCATTGGATACGTTCTTAACGTCTAGTTTTTGCATACTTTTTTGAACACTGAAGTTCCGAAAACTTTTCAGTGTAGAAAATTCTAAACCTGTGCATTTCAATATTAATTTGAAATTGCAAACAGTTCGCATATTTTTCTTAATCACACTATTCTAAATTTCAGTTGTTGAGAAAAGTAACTGTTGTAAGTTTTGTTTTAAAGTCTTTCCCACCAGAGGGCTAAAACCATGTGTTGTAAAACAATATGAAATAGTACTGAACGCCGGATGTAAAGCATCGGCTTCGATGAAGATAATTTTGTGAGAATTTTTTTGATAATTCGGTGAGAATTCACCCGATTAGACATATGATGCTCACTACGTGCTCTTGCGCGCCGAAGCCTATCAATTAAAACGTATTAGCGTTTTATATAATATAGATTAGCCATATGATGCTCACTACGTGCTCTTGCGCGCCGAAGCCTATCAATTAAAACGTGTTAGCGCTTTATATAATATAGATTAGCCATATGATGCTCACTACGTGCTCTTGCGCGCCGAATCCTATCAATTAAAAATGAAAACTGTTGCCAGCGCGAGAAAAGAAATATCATCGGTTTTATTGATACATACGTACGTATTAGCGTTTTATGTAATATAGATTTAGTTATTTAAAAGAATTTATTCATGAGAAAAAATAATATATATAATTTTATAATTATATATATTATTTACATATAATTACAATAATATATATATTATTTTAATTATAATAATATATATTATTTTATAATTATATATATTATTTACATATAATTATAATAATATATATTATTTTAAATATTTTATTTTTTAATAAATATAATATTTATTTTATATATATTAAGAATATAAGTATGAAACATAGATGCAATTTTCAACGTTTGCTTTATATATTCAAATTCGTACATATTTTGGAATATTTATTGCAGACATACGAAAATAAAACGTTCCTTTCAACTTATAATATATTAGTACGTGATAACATTTTATTATTTTATTTCAAATGTCACAGTTTTAACTTGAAATATGGTCTTTTTTCTTTGATGGTATTTTATTTTCAAATAGAGTTCATTTATTTTCTTTTTTTGAAAAACAAAATTTTAAATTTCGAATTATGTATACCATTTTAAAATAAACTTACTCATTATTTCAATTACAACTTACACACTTAACCATTTTTAACAATTTGAATCGTTTAAAAAAAGTTAGGAACGCCAAATTCTTAAAAGTAAACTAAGACTTGTGTTTCATTAACAAAGAAAAAAAATACACCTTAAATTTTCCTTCAAATTGTGAACAAAACTTATGATTTTATCATAATAATTAAAACGGAAGATCACATTGTGTTTTCATTTCTCCCAATAATTCTTAAGTAACAACGAAATTTTGACGTTCTTACATGATTATATTCGCATGTTTTTATTTTTAAAAGAAAACAAAACACAAAAGTATATTTTGTTACAATAATATATTCAGCATGATATTTGGAATAGATTTATCGATATTTTAATAATTGACTGTTATTTGTCATAAATAAAATTAAAAATTTAAAAATAAGAAAAATAATAAAGTATTTAATTTTAGTTTCTGAAATTCTTTAATCACCAATAGCTAAAACCTCTCATGATAAAATAACCTATGGATAGTATTAATATTATAGAGTACTATATCAAATTATAAAAAAGTTGAAAATTTTTTTACAAAAATGTCAGAACTTTCACCAAATATTTAGGATCAAGCATTGTGCACTTAGTTAATAAGAAAACAGCACAAAAAATGCAAACAAAATATTTCAAAAACCTCAATGAGACTAATTTATCAATTTTTCTTTGAATTTTATTACATTTGCGAACTGCAAAATATTAAATTAAATTTATTTTCTAAATCAATTTCATAGGATGTCCAAGGCAGTCTTCGAAATGGCCAAAGATGCCACACTGGTAAAGCCTATTTGGTACCAGCCGAAAACAGAACTAATTTGGATATACTAACTCATGCTTTTGTCCATAAGGTAATCTAATAAACAAAAAAAGAGTCAAAATTCTCCTTGCATGCATATTTTGTTATTTATCTGAGTAAACCTCTAACTTAAGTGTTCCCCAACTTTTTTTATTTGGTCTTTACGTATAAAATTTGAAGAACAAGAGCAAAATCTAATGATAATAATATAAGGAACTATTTCATTCATCGAAGTGCATGCTCTCATACATTTTTTCTATTTTCATAAACAACTTGTCGTTTTTTTTATTTATTTATTTATAAATTTTTTTTTTAATTTATTTTTTTTTATAAGTGGCAGGTTGTTTAGTCAAGAAGAATAAAACCCTTTTCGATGCGAGTAAATGAATACCTGAAAGGCCAGTTTTACAACATTTTCGGGATAAAATTGTTCTCCCATAGTTGTGAATGCTGTCAAAATTTAGAAAAAAATTGTATTCATTGGGGATGAGTCTAGTGATCATGTAGGATTAGTTCCAATTTCCGTAGTTTTGCATGTGTGTTTTAGTGCTGAGGTTTGAAATTTTCTTTAATTTTTGCATGATTTCAACTAGTTAACTGCAATATAATTTAATTGTGAACGATGAAGCAGGTTCTATAAAATCAGAATGGATCACACCTTTGTTAAAGCAACTAAATGTCACCAACAGTTTTATTTTGGTAAATATTATGCCTTGGAGTGTGCTTTTGCGGTTGTTCCTTCTTCAATCAACACTAAATCTAACTAACATTAGACACAAATACAATGATGTTTTGCGCTCCCTCTGATGAGTGCCGCGTTAGAATTCATACTTTATAAGAGTACAAATTTCTAACTGTTCAGTTTTTAATAAAATGTTTTTTTTAAAAAGTATTTATATATTTCGAGATTATGATGATTTCTTTAAACAAGTGAGAATTATTTTAACAAAAGAAAAAAATGGCAAAATATTAAGCCAATTTCAAATAATAAGCTGTTGAAGTTGATATATCCAATCTAAATTTCGTACTTGGAGAACTTCTTACTCACCCTGCAGAACATAAGTTTTCACTGTCTTCTGAAAGAAAAATAAACTTTTCAAAAGAAATTTTTTTTTTTTAAATCATCCAACATTTTCGATTTAGATGGTTGACCATATAAAGATAAGGGCAGATGGCGCTAGAAATTAAAATTCACCGTAAGACTTCCGGGTTACTACTTTCGACTAATCTTTAAGCCAAAGCGTGAAAAAACGCCCTATCCAATATTATTATACTAATTGTTGTTATTGCTTATCCCCTTGGTCTAGAGCACTAGACCAAGTCCAGAAGATCACGTCGCAACAGCAAGTCATATACAGTCTCTCCTTTACACATCAGTTGCCTCACAGAGACACCAATGCAATCCAAAAGATGAGATGGAGAAGCAATGGCCGAGCAATGACAATAGGCATAAGTCATTTCTTTCGCTCTGAAGGTCAAACACTTTATATGGCCGGTCCTAAGCCTTGATAAAGCTGTTTGAGAAAATCTAGGACAAGTTCACTGCATATTATAATCCGGGATGGATAATCCGGGGCATTTGGCGGCATACCAATCATGATCTGGTGGATTATATTTGTAATGTTTTTAATACAACGCGTTCTTTCAATCTAACTTTCAACTAAGCAAACAGCAAATGAATTCGGAAGACTCCGCAAGCTTCGTATGATGCTGCCCAAAAAGTAACAAACAGTGCTATTTTACACAAATATAGACAAATAAGGGAGAACACTCCAAAAACATGGCTAACCTTACGCTTTATTTATGCTGTAATATTATTTTTGTTAAATTTGGTTTAAGCTCACTACCTGTTAGAAATTATAAATTACAGAAAACTTTTATGAATGGCAAAACTACGCGTAAATTTAAGTATAAATCACAATAATAAAACTTTCTAGAATATTAAGGTTGTTTACACATCGCCTTGTAAGCATAATACAGGGTTATTCATAATTCCCTCCGCCTGTAAACGCCATTTTTCTTTACTACAACTGGCTTCAGTGGTACATGTTACTGCTATCTACCGTCAACTGCTTAAATTAAAACTTGAATACTTTCGGAATAATTTCATCTGTTCTTTTATGTCATATTCGTCTTCGTTTTTTTACTATAACGCTTCGAAACCCCGGAGGGAATTATGAATAACCCTGTATATAACAAATGTTCCCATAACAAATCCCACCCATCCCCCATGTTCCCATAACAAATCAATACCTCTGGGGGTACTGAATTGGAGATTGATCGTTCTCCGATTCAGGTCAAAATTACGATCTGTGGATGAATGAATGGGTCAACCCTATAGACGGGCATGATGTATGGGTGCGGCAGAAGTTGAATTCTTGGCCATAGATGGCGCCACTGGAAAACAGGAACAATCGCACCTTTCTGTCTTAACAGGCATACGAAAGAAGAGGAAAGTTGTCGAGTTAAGAAAAAAATTCCCTGATTTTCAGGGAGAATGGAGCAAAAGAAGGCCAAATTAAATAATTAGCTAAGGATTTGTGCAGCCGTTTTGAAAGCTATCAGACAGAAATAAAAACTCCGTTTACCTAAAATTTAAATTTAGAAAAACGATTATTACAATTTTGATCCGCGTGATGTGAGGTTAAACTGTCTTCCTCTTAGATCGATCTCGTTCCATTTTTGTTCCAGATGCTGAGATATTATTTTTACCGCCCTTTTCGGGACGTCCTCTCCTTTCCCTTTTTCTTACTATCTGTCTGGTGAAGCAGAAATTTTTAAAGCCCCTCTAAATAGATCAATAACTAAATGATGTAAAACGAATCATTAAAGTGGATAAATGACGTCAATACCGGCATCGCTCTAAACTGAAGTACCAGCAAAGTGCTCAATCTAAGGAAATACTTGAACATCAAAAAAAAAAAATTTAAAAATAACTGTTTGAGTTGTTATGCGTTAAAGGAAGATGTCGTACAGGTCATTTCGTAAAAAGTTTCTTTTTTTGAGATTAACTCTGATCAACTGCCTTAATGGCTTTCAGTCTAATCACCCTTAACTTGATATGAGCTTCTTCTTCAAGTTGAACATTTTACAAAGTACACTAACGATTTTGTTATTTTTTCATGCCTAATTCTTTTCAGTAAATTATTTACCATAGAACAGTGCAAGTTTTCTGGTTGTATATTTCGGTTGCTTATTCTCCAATTTAAACCATAAGACTTTTTTTTAAATTCAATTTCGTGGTAACTATTCGACCGATTTAGTTCAAATTTCATATTTTGACATATAAAACTACATTCTTTACAATAACATAAAATTTTGTAAACCTTATGACTCGAAATTCATAGTGGAGATAACAATTTCTGTTTTAAGTACCAAAACCACACTATTTCCTTAGCATCGAAATAATTTTGCTAATTAAATAAGTAGGGTTAATTATGCTATTTTTACAGGTTGTTATCAAAAACTACAAAGCAGTAGGTGTGTCGTTTGATGTAAATGGAACAATGCATGAGGTGAAATCAAGAAAAGAAATCATTGTTTCCGCAGGAACAATAAACTCGGCTCAATTGCTCATGCTGTCTGGTATAGGACCTAAGGATGAACTTGAAAAACATAAGGTATATTAAAGAAATGTGAAAAACAAAGTGTGTTCAATTAGTTTTTCTTTTGTAGAGGAAAAATTAATCAATGACAATAAAATTTGACAAACAGGTTTAGGGATTTTGTTCAAAATACATAATATTTTCATATCAGCAAACTAAAGATATTAAGTAACTGAGTAACTAACGATACTGTTCAAAAACGATGACTCAAAGTACAGTGCGCCAAAGAAAACCGATCATCGTGAATAACTTTTGATCTAATAATCGGATCTTCACATTTTGGACTCAAACTTACTGGCTCGAGGAGGTGACCTCCAATATGCTAATTAATTACTGCAGACAATATTTTAAGTTACGAAATCAGACTCAAAAATGTACTTTCTCTGAATAAACATACCTGTTTTTAGACTGGTTCGGATTTCTGACCACCAAAATATTAGGGATATCCGTAATCTGGGAAATATGATCCCCTTAGCTTAGTCAGGAAAGCGATCTAAAGTTTGGACCCCTTAATGCTAATTTTACTTTTTGCATATTTCTTCGTATCTTGAAAACTTTTCAAGCGAATGGAAAAATTTTTGCACACAATCATAAAATTTATTTATCCAGGGAAAATTTCAAGGAAAGAATATTTTTAGTATGTATTTATTATTTTTTTATTATTTTATTAAATAATAGCCGAAAAAATTTTGAGAAGTATAAATTTTTTTGCATCATTTTAATGTACAAAATGTAAAATACAAAATTTAAGTGAAATCAGTTGAATACGTTCTTAAGGATTAGAATTTTAAATATTTTAAATTCGATTTCTCAGGAACTATTCGACCGATTTCGCTCAAATTTTGTATTGAGCCAGAACGTGTATAAGATTTATTTTATTTTGTTCTTGCTGTCCGGTTAAAAGTTAGTGTCATTTGCAAAATAAAATTGTGGAAAACCCCTGATAATTTTGAGCTCTATTTTAAAAAGTACAAAAACTACATAGAAAATTGTTCAAAGCATTTTAAATTTTTAAGGTATTCAAATAAGGCTTTTTTTTATTAGTTACCAAATACGATTCTTTACAAAATCTGAAAAATAAATTAGCATTTTTTTTCTCACATTCGCAGTACAAAACAACTACTTTACTACTCATGTCTTGCGTAGCTTTCAGCGAACTTTTTTCAAAATTTTGAAACAAAGATTTTGCATTTAATTTTTAAATTCCTCCGAAAAAAAACTAATTTTACTTATTATTTTTAAAATTATATCAAAAAACATGAGACAAAATTAGTTTTTTTTTTGTAAAAATGTCCATATTTCTATAAATATATAAGTTAGGCTAACGAAATTCTATCCAGTAGTTGCAGATAATAACCGAAGTAATCGATACAAGTTGCAATGTTACTGCTTGATTTTTTTTGTCTTATTGTGTTAAAAAACTTATTTTCTTTCATTATGTATTGTCAGTCCCTCAAACCTCTGAAAGCAATAAATCTTATTGCTAAGTTTAAAAAGTCGCATGAGCTAATCAACTCTGAAGTTATAAAATAATCGTCAGAGCGTTTCTTGAGAAATTTTGAAAAATGTCAAAAACTGAAAGTTTTTCTTCCATTTATTGTAGGGCTGTATGTATATATATATAAACACTTTATAT